TTGATGTTACCCCTTTCTCGGATGAAGAGTTTAGAGCACTAGCTATTCCAAAAAATCGACAATGAGGTCGACATATTTCAAAGCGATGTTCCACAGGACTCAAATTTGCAGGAGGTCAGGCTCATGAGACAACCTATACTTAGTCAAGAAAATGAGCTGCTCTCAATTGTGCGCTCCTTGAACAGAAAATAGCGGGAATATTTTTATCATGTTCACCATAACATGAAGCTGAAGAGACACTTTTACGAATACGTTGGAGGCGGAGTTGGAGTATGAAAAAGCTGATTAATTTCCGCTTTATACCAGTCACTGACAACACGAGCAGACAGCTTATCCGGCAGTAATCCCGAGACAATTAAAGTCTTATTGTGTGCTCCTACAGGAAAAGCTGCATTTGGAATTGGAGTCGCAACTATGCACTCGATTTTTTCCTTACCGATTAACCAATCCTCAACTGAATTACGCCCTCTCAGCAATCATAGTGTTAATTTTTCAATTTAAAGCTAGTTGACTTTCAGTTAGTACTGGTAGATGAAATTTCAATGGTCGGTGCAAAAATGTTTGGATATTTAGATACCCGTTTAAAACAAATATTTCGCTCTAGCGAGAATTTTGGAGGTATACCATTAATTGTTTTTGGCGACTTAAAGCAACTCTGGCCAGTAGGAGACTGATAGATTTTCTCCCCAAACCAATCGGATCTATATAGCGCAATTACTGGCACACCACTCTGGGATTTGTTCCGTTTCTTCGAACTCACCGAAATAATACGCCAAAGAGAATATCAAGCATTTGTCGTTGCTCTCACGAACATGTCCGAAGGAAATATGACATCTGCTGATATCGAGCTCATTAAAGCAAGAGAAACCAATTTTAACGAGATACCCAACGACTGCATTAATCTTTTTTATTCCAACGCGGATGTATCTCTATCAGCCCGATTCTAAATATTCCCGGGGAGCTCTCTTCTTGAGGATTTTATTTTTCTCGAGAAAAAAATCCTCCAATTCTAAACCCTTGGGGAGTACATTTTCCATCGAAAATTCGGGAGTAGGAAATTCGAACTTCGAAACAGCTGTTTCATACATCTTTGAAAGTTCTCGCGGGCGCAAATTATTTGAAAAAGTTTTTTATTTTCAGTAAAAGTTTAAAGATTGGTGAAAAAACAGGAAGAAAGTCTAAAACAATGCACACTATAGCTTTCCGAATGGTTGCAGAGGAGGAAGCTGCTGAATTGGAGGAGAATATTCTGCCACAAAGAGCTGTAAGGAGACATTGGCGCGATAAGACAAATCCGCTCGAGTTGCCGCAATCTTTGTGAGTTCAACAAGCTTTTTTTATTAATATTTGCATAATTTTTTAATTTTTTTAGATTTGAGAAGTACTATAGAGTAAATAAAGCTGCTTTCAAATATTTACTCGACGTCCTGGTATTGCACACGCGGGAAAGGAAAAAGCTATTTGGTGTTTCGGCTATTATTAAACTTAGCGCATCTTTGCTGAAGGTGGATACCAAACAGGAATCAGGAAAGATGTAGACGTCTCTCTGGCTCAATCAACCTTCAGCAAAGTTCTCGAGGAAGTTCTGGAAGTTTTCGAAACCCATTTATGTCCAAAGTGGATAAAAGTATGTAAAGCTGAAGAAAGACGGCTAATATCGCTACAATTTTTTCAGAAGCACAGCATTCCGAGCGTTGATGTATTGACGGTACGCATGTGCGTATCATTGCACCTTCTCACAACCAGCATTTATATTATAACAGAAAGGGATACTATAGTTTAAATGTTATGCTTGTAGGTTACTTTGATTATAATTTGCAAAACGTATTTAACAAATTTAAACTTATCTATAGATGTGCGACCATGAGCTTCGAATTCAATATGTAGACGCCTCGCATCCTGGTGCCTCTCACGACTCCTTTGTGTGGAACAACAGTGCATTAAGAATTCACTTTGAACAAGAGTATTTGCGGAATTCAGGAAAGTTTTGGCTTCTAGGTAAATGTAGTGAATGTGAAATTAGACCGCAAATTATTATACCCAAATTTCGTCGCATAGGAGATGCCGGCTATCCATTGGAGCCATGGCTTTTGACGCCCTACAGATTACCAGGAGATGATTCGTAGGAAATGAAGTTCAACGAAGCTCACTCGCAATGCCGCAATATTATAGAACGAACTAACGGAGTATTGAAAAACCGATGGAGGTGTATTCTTGGAGCAAGGGAGTTACTGTATACTCCAAAAAAAGCAGCGAAAATTGTAAATGTGTGTTGCGCGCTACACAACATATGTATATATTTTAAATCGTCCTTAACCATAATCGAAGAAAGAACAGAAATTTTCACCCAATATAATGAGAACGCTGAAGTCATATCACTGGTCACGCCCCCCTACTTAAATGTAGCCCAAAGCATTAGAAATAGAATTGCAAGCACTCTATAAAATAACCTCTGTTAAAGCTGCTGAAGAAAAAAATTGAAAGGCAACAAATGTATAATTTTTAACAAACACATATTTGCCAATAAAACGAAAAAAAAAATTCATTTTCTTAGTAATCGTAAATACTAATGTCCTTATTCATGAAAAATAAAATAGGTTTAAAGAGCTTTATAAAGTGACATTTTCATACAAGTTTTCGATTTATAAAGCAATTTAAGTCTTCTTTATTTTTATGAATTTGGGTGTAAGTATTTACATAAGAAATCAATCTTGCAAACTTTGTACACGATTCGCAACAATTCATTGAATTTCAAAAATTATCGAAATTTGAAACTTTTTAATCAGAACTTTAAGGGCCGATTTATCCAACTCAACTTAACTTAGTTCACACTTAGGCTTTCTGCTCATTGGTCGTCCAATCATAGTTGAGTCATAGTTATCGTCATGATACAATAATTTTTAGAAGGTAGTTTCACTTCAAAATTTTTGACATAAACCGTGTCTGTGACAAACACGAAATGTGGCCATTGCTACGATATAGAACTTGGGGATTATCGCTTGTTATTTTAGATATTTTTTAACAGAACATGTAAAGATTTATATGTTTCATAACTGATCACTTAATTTTTAATATAAATATACGTATTTTATACATACATTATTGCCACTGCTAATCATATGAATAAAAATCATAAAAATGAAAATATAACAGCAATATTTCTTTTTTATAATGGATTAGATCCATCGCACATCACGGACTTTATCGGCCGCCAATTTAGATGTGCTCGCTAGTCTTTCCATTGCACCACAACTTATTGGTCAGAGCGATTAAGCTGGTATAATGTGCGCACCTCCATACATCTCCATGTACATATTTCAAGCGAGCTCTATCATTTAAATAGGCGGCCGATAAAGTCTGTGGTGTGCGGTGGCTCTTATAGCTGTGTCCTTACATCTATTCTGTTTGTTGCAATATCCACGAAAGCAGCAGTTAATTTTTTATGAAGAAAATTATTACAAAATATTCGAAAATTTCTCTACTTATATGTTTGGCTTTTCTTTGTTTTATTTTTCCAACGTCAAAAGCTGGATTTTTTTTTGAAAAAGTTGGTACAACAAAAAATACGAAACACGTTTTCTGTCAGATAGCTAACATGGCGGATAAGAAGAAGAAGTGAAACTACCTTCTAAAAATTATTGTATCATGGTTATCCTCATGAAGCAACGATTACATGACGATTACACTTCTGCACACTTGGTCGTGATATTTCAATTCATTTGGCGTCTAAAAATTCACTTGGAGCAGGTATTTTCTGTTTTTTTTGGTTGATATTTTCGCGAAATATTTACAAAAACCTGCAATTTTTTAAATATAGACTGTGCTGCAACATTTCTAGACGTAATTTTCCAGTAATATCTCTTCTTTTCTTTTCCTGGAATGTGTTTTGTGTATGCACACAGAGACTTAATACAATTTCGTCATATTTTATAGTTAAAACGCTCATATTTATTAAATTTTAATGCAATTATCCACTTTTTAATAATTTCCACAGATTTTATGCAAAAAAATACTAATTTTTATACAATTTTAATGCAAATATTAACTTTTTCACTAATTTTCCCCCATAAAATGTAAACAAACAATGCGTGCACAACGATTAGCAAACGACAGTGCCGTACTTATCCGTTTCTGCATCTTCTACGATTTGCCGATAACTAGCCGATAACGACAAGTGTGCAGATCTCCTTTGAAATGCATGTGCTCGGCTCAAAATTTCAGGGCGAGACGATAACGCAACTATGATTGGACGACAAGTGTGCAGATAGCCTTAGTCAAGAATAAGCTGATTAAAAAGTAGGCTAACTTTTGGCTTAGGATAGTCCAGATGGTGAAAATGAACTTGGACTTATTCATTTTCACCATCTAGGCTAACCTGCGCCAAAAGTTAGCCTAGTTTTTAATCACCTTATTCTTGACTAAGTCCAAGCTAAGTTTAAGTTGAGTTGGAGAAACCAGCCCTAAGAATTTTATTGGAGTATGCAGTTTTGTAGCTGAGTCTATTTCAGTGTAGTCATTACGTGAATAGGACTTATCGTTCATTTTTGGCAATTTTAACGCCCGAACCAAATTTATTTTTATATGGAAGAAAACGGGCGACACCGTCAACAAAAAAATTGCCAAAAATAAACGATAAGTCCTATTCGCGTATTGACTACACTGAAATAGAATCGGCTGCAAAACTGCATACTAAAAAAAAAAATCTAAAAGTTATGATTAAAAAGTTTGAAAAGTTGAAACTTTTATGAAATTTGAAGAACTGTTGCGAATTTTGTTCAAAATTTGCAAGATTGATTTATATAGTTATTGCTATAGAATGAGCTGTATTTTAATTGAAAATTAATAAATACTTCTGTAAGTAACTGTATGCGTATTCTCAAAACAAAAAAAAAATCAGCCTTCTATAATAAAATCACGTTTCATTGCATCAAAACTCTTAAAAGACTACCAAAACTATTAAAAGATTAACATTGTTATTTAGTTGCATATTTGGATTGTACCTTTAATTCCTCTGTCTCCCACAGCAATAGCTTTTCCTCTAGTTTTGCCTCGATTTCCCTGAGTCTAAGCTTTTCCATAGTTACATTATGGCGTTTAATTTCTTCTAGCTCAGAAGATTTTATTTGTTCCATCGTTTTAAAATGTTGTTTTTGGACAACATACAAGCTGTCAAGCGTCCGATATAGCTTCTTCATGCTTCGCTCTTGCTCAATCATACCGTTCTTTAATATATTACACATTTCGCGCTGAATATTAAGCTCTTCGGCTAACACACCAGAAGCATGGCCTTTTTGCTTTGGCACCTCCTTTCGCACAGGTGTAGGCTTACAAAATTTCACTGAACTATGCTCGTTTTCGCCAATACCACATATTTCAATTTCCTCCTCTATTTCTTCAAATGCTTCATTTCGTGTAGTTATTGTTTCCTGTCGTTGCGGTAGTGTTTCTTCTCGTTGAGATAGTGTTTCTTCTCGTTGAGGTAGTGGTTCTTCTGTTTCGTCTGTCTCAACCACGTCCAATCCAAAGAGCTTTGCTACACCTATCAACGATTCTTTCATTCCAATCAATTCAAATATCGCACTCTCGGTGGCAGAGAATTTGTACCCAATATTAGGACCACCACCTGTGCCTTTTCTTTGCCTGTTGTTGTTGGCTGCATTCTGCCGGACGTATTTTTTCTGATCTGCCCAAACCTGAGATGTTGGGCATTAATTTATTTGAACACTGAACTATATTCAGCATGAGTAGCTACCTTTTTCCACTCTGCAACATTTTTAGATGGTGGGCCAGCCGAATTCAGTTCAGCTTCAGCTTTGCGCCAAAATCTGTTTAAGTCATCCTTGCTGCCCGTATAAAACCCACGCGCAATGCCAGGATTACCTTGCATAAGGTTTATGAGTATCTCTAATTGATTCCTGTTTGTAGTTTTTGACCTAAAAAATTGTTTAACATTGTTTTCTATTAAAAAGTTCGCAAATACTTACATTCTTGGGTACTGCTCCCTCACACTTTTCTGGCGGAAAATTTATTTAAAACTGTCATCACATTCTTCCTTTGATTTGCATTCGTGATAGCTACTTTTTCCCGAAATACATTTTCCCTTTTTCGAAGTTCGTTTAGAATAGGAGGAAAGGGAGAAGAAAAAAATCCTCTGGGAAATTTTTTTTCATGATAGGAGGAAAGAAAAAAAATAGAAAATCCCCGGGGAAGAATCAGAATCGGGCTGTATATTATACTGCAAGATTGGCTGAAATCGCCACAGAAGAGTTTGTCTCTACAGCGAAAGACGGTGTGAAGGCGAACTCTGTTTCGGAGCGAAGTAAAACGGTTATATTGAATGCCATTAAGAATTTTAAAATATCGCAGACACAAGGAATGTGCGCTACAGTTTACAACTGAAAACCTCTGCAAAATACATGATTGCGGTCAACATGCATACTGCAGATGGTTTGGTAAATGGAGCTACGGGCCGACTAATGCAAACTGACCATCGAGGCTCCGAATGGACATCAGTAATTCTTTGGATGCACTTTTCCGAGCCAGGAGCTGGAGTAATAGCACGTTCCAAAAACTTCACTCCCACGAATCGAGCTGGACACCAATTGAAAAAGTAGTGTGCACCTTCCAATGTAGAAGAAACGAACAAGTCTCGATAGAAAGAAGACAGTTCCCTATAATACCTGCAGAGGCAATAACAATACACAAAATCCAAGGAGAAACTTACAGATTGGTTGCTATTCATACTAGGAAGGGAATGAGCCGCATAATTATTTATTGTAGGTAATTTTATTCCACCTAGACCTGTTAGAGGCAACAAAGTAGTCCAAGCACAGCTGAATATACTTCGACATTTAAAAAAATTAGAGACTCACTACAAATTTGCAATTGAGCGCCCAGATAGCACTCTTCTATTGTACTATCAAAACAAGCTTATGAAAGCATATCGATCGCATTAGACCACCTTATTTATTCAGCGGATATCATTTGTTTTGCCGAGACTTGGACTCGTCCAGAAGAAGAATTACAAATCGGAGGCTGTAGTATTGTAGCGCGTATCGATGCAGCAACTCAAACTGAACAAAGCCGCTCACGGCATGGAGCAATCATTTATTGTAAAACTGGTCATGCAATTTGGAGTGCAATGGGGTATAGTCGTTGCGCTGGGTATGCAGTTACAGTTGCATGGCTATACTCAATCCCGACTCTTGCGTCCTCGTTCGCGCACTCTGGGCAACGTGAGCAACCCATGTGCGAGATGCGGTAACCAATGCGAGTGGAGCCTTGGGTCACGGCAGAAAGAGAGGGAGCTTCGGTGGGGCCACTCCGACTTATTCACTTTAAGGGCTCACTGAAGTCTGCAGCGTCTGTTCACCAGTAGGTGCGGCTGCAAGCGGGTGTCTGCTTGGAGCAAGCGGCTCGCTATATAAACGCGTATTTGGTTGCGAAACCACCCCCGTCCCAGCAATGGGTTGTGCGCTGGGCTTGGGACCCGCCACGTAAAAACCACTTCCAGTGAAGAAGCAAGGCAAAGCCTCGGATGAGACCCCCCCTTATGATGACGACCACGGCAAACGTTTAAAGGACTACGATTTGAGGGCATGCACCTGGAATGTCCGGACCCTTAATGGGTTGAGTGCCTCTGCCCGGCTGGTTGATGTCCTCGTAAGGACAAAAGCTGACATCACCGCCATCCAAGAAATGCGTTGGACGGGGCAAGGCAAACAATGTCTGGGGCCTTGCGACGTCTACTACAGCTGCCATGTAAAGGAGCGCAAATTCGGAGTTGGATTTGTGGTGGGAGAGAGACTCCGTCGCCGAGTACTGTCGTTCACCCCGGTGGACGAGCGTCTAGCCACAATCCGCGTCAAAGCGAGATTCTTCAACATCTCGCTCATCTGCGCCCATGCCCCGACGGAAGAGAAGGATGAGGCATCCAAGGATCTCTTCTATGAGCGCTTGGAGCGCACGTACGAGCGCTGCCCCCGTCATGATATCAAAATCGTGCTTGGCGACTTCAATGCCAGGGTGGGCAAAGAAGGGATCTTTGGAACCACCGTCGGAAAATTCAGCCTCCACGACGAAACGTCCGACAACGGATTGAGGCTGATCGACTTCGCCGGGGCCCGAAACATGGTAGTATGCAGTACTAGGTTTAAGCATAAAAAGATCCATCAAGCTACCTGGCTGTCTCCGGATCGAAAAACGAGAAACCAAATCGATCATGTTGTGATAGACGGAAGGCACGCTTCCAGTGTTTTAGACGTACGCACACTCCGAGGCCCAAACATCGACTCGGACCACTATCTTGTTGCAGCCAAGATACGCACCCGCCTCTGTGCAGCAAAAAATGTGCGCCCAAATATGCAAGGAAAGCTTAACGTCGAAAAGCTGCAATCACAACAGACAGCCAGCGCTTTCGCTACTCGACTCTCACACCTGCTCTCAGAGAGCACTCTTCAACAAACCGACATATGCGAGCAGTGGAACCACATTTCCCGCTCATTAAGTACCGCCGCCGAAGAAGTAGTCGGATTTCAGCGAGCCCGAAAGAACAACTGGTACGATGAGGAGTGTCAGGAAGCTGCAGAGAAAAAAGATGCCGCCTACAGGGCCACGCTGCGATCGGGCGCAACGCGCGCTATGTGGGACCGCTATAGGGATCTGAAGAGGGAAGCGAGACGTATTTGCCGCAACAAGAAGAGAGAGGCAGAAATACGTGAGTGCGAAGAGCTTGAAATGCTGGCCGACAGGAGGAATGCCCGAAAATTTTACCAGAGAGTTAGGCGACTTACGGAAGGTTTAAAGACCGGGGCGCACTCCTGTAAGAACAATAATGGCGACCTAGTAACTGATGTCCAGAGCGTACTTAAATTATGGAGGGAACACTTTTCCGCCCTACTAAATGGTAGCAGCACGGAAAGTTGTGGAGAAGAAGAACCCGAGCCCGCAGTCGATGATGACGGAGTCGACGTTCCACCGCCTGACTATGACGAGGTACGTATAGCAATAACGCGGCTGAAAAACAACAAAGCCGCTGGAGCTGACAGCCTGCCAGCTGAGCTATTCAAGTACGGCGGCGAGGAGTTGATAAGGTGCATGCATCAACTCTTGTGCAGAATATGGTCAGATGAACGCATGCCCGACGACTGGAATTTAAGTGTGCTCTGCCCAATCCACAAGAAAGGTGACCCCGCCATTCGCGCCAACTACCGCGGGATCAGCCTTCTAAGCATAGGTTACAAGGTCTTATCGAGCGTATTGTGTGAAAGACTGAAGCCCACCGTCAATGAACTGATTGGGCCTTATCAGTGTGGCTTTAGACCTGGCAAATCCACCATAGACCAGGTATTCACAATACGCCAAATCTTGGAAAAGACCCGCGAGAAAAGGATCGACACTCACCACCTATTTGTCGACTTTAAAGCCGCTTTTGACAGCACTAAAAGGAGTTGCCTATACGCCGCTATGTCTGAATTTGGCATCCCCTCAAAACTCATACGGCTGTGTAAAATGACGTTGAGCAATACCACCAGCTCCGTCAGAATTGGAAAAGACCTCTCCGAGCCGTTCGCCACAAAACGGGGTTTCAGACAGGGCGACTCCCTTTCATGTGACTTCTTTAATCTGATGTTGGAGAAGATAATAAGAGCTGCAGAACTGAACCGCTCAGGAACAATTTACTACAAGAGCGTGCAATTGCTGGCTTATGCCGATGACATCGACATCATCGGTAACAAAAACCGCGAAGTCTGTTCTGCCTTTTCCAAGTTGGATAGGGAAGCAAAGCGCATGGGTCTGGTGGTAAACGAGGACAAGACGAAGTATCTCCTGTCATCAAACAAACAGTCAGCACATTCGCGCCTTGGCACCCACGTCACTGTTGACAGTTACAATTTCGAGAAAGTAGAGAATTTCGTTTACTTGGGAACCAGCATTAACACCGATAATAATGTCAGCATTGAAATCCAACGTAGAATCACTCTTGCCAACAAGTGCTACTTTGGACTGAGTAGGCAATTCAGGAGTAAAGTCCTCTCTCGACGTACGAAAACCACGCTCTATAAGTCACTCATCATGCCCGTGCTGGTATATGGCGCAGAAGCATGGACAATGACAACATCCGATGAGGCGGCTCTTGGGGTGTTTGAGAGAAAGATTTTGCGGAAGATTTACGGTCCTTTACGCGTTGGCGACGGCGAGTACCGCAGACGATGGAACGATGAGCTGTATGAGCTTTACAACGATATGGACATAGTGCAGCGAATTAAAATACAGCGGCTCCGCTGGCTTGGTCATGTCGTTCGAATGGACACCGACGCTCCAGCTCTGAAAGTATTCAACTCGGAACCCGCTGGTGGTAGCAGAGGAAGAGGGAGGCCCCCACTGCGATGGAAAGATCAGGTGGAGAAGGACTTGGCTTCACTTGGCGTTTCCAATTGGCGTCAGTTGGCACAGAGGAGAAACGACTGGCGTGCTTTGCTGAACTCGGCCAAAATCGCTTAGGCGGTTACAGCGCCAAAAAAGAAGAAGGCCATGCAAGTTGCTTTACCACAAGTTTCATTAAAACTCATCATGTAGCCGGAAAAGTGTATCAGTTTCTGGCAATATCAAAACCTGACTTGGCAATCGCTGTAGTGTACAGAAATCTATATTTTTTATTACCAGCATTTAGAAGATTATTGGAAGAAGATATAAGGAGCTGAGTAATAGAAATAATGGAGAATTAATAGTTGTTGGAGACCTTAATGTCTGTCGCATTACGTCAAATGATGTTCTTGGAACGCACTTAAGCCAACTGGGATTGCATTTCTTACTGGAACATCTTCCTACTACAAAGCAACAAACCGCGATTGACTGGTTATTGGCAAGTTTCTCATAAATTTTTTGGTGTTGGCGATTAATATTATTATATTTTCATATGTACCACATACGTTTGTATGTACACACATTGTTGTAGAACACCTTAATTTACTTTGTCATACGTGTTTTTGTTTTATTTAATGTTTTTGACAATTAAAAGTAGTGGATAAAAATTAAATAAAGATCAACTGAACACATAAGTAAACTTGTATGCACGATGTGAATATTTATTGGATATTTATACAAAAAAATAAATAGTATTTTCATATTGAATATTTTTCAGTAATAAGTAGATGAAAGACAGCTTTTATACGCTGATGACACACAATCAGTTTTGCCTTTCAATTTCCTCACACACATTGCTTGTCAAAAATCATAAAAATTTAAAGCCATTACGTAGGCTGCATTCAATTTGAGAAGCAATTTCATTATCAATATGCCGCCTTCAAGAAAACAATGTAACTAACTAGCTTCTGAAGACCATTTTCCATTTTAATTCCATTGTAGATTAAGATTTTAGCATGCATAAGCTTGTTTTTTTTTATTATTTTCATAAAATTCGCACGCCAATGCTGAAAAGCTGATCAAAATTTAAAGCAAAATTGAAACTCAATTGAAAGGGAAAAATTGAAAGCAAGTCACCTATTCAAGCAATAAATAAGAGTGTGTTAGTGAAAAAGTGTGAGAGTATTGAAAATTGAAAGGGGAAAATTGAATGTGTAACGGCCCGGTTATTTTCATGAAAGGTATGAAGGCTTCGGCATAGCCGAACACGGCCCCTTTTTACTTGTTTAAATTTATTTTCATCATTTTATCATACATATTAGTATGAAAATTTCGGCCCCTCGGCGACACTGTAGTTTACGAGGTCATTTGCGCATCAAATTTTCCTCGTAAACTTACGAGGGGCTCGCAACTAGAGCTCCATACAAATCTTGACAGTTCTTAGCATCTGGTAGCCAAGTGGACGGTCAGTGAAGACGGGGCCTTCCGGGAGATGCACACGTCGCGAATCTTATGCTCCGACTTTGACGTACGGCCCACAATGGCATTTTGGCCAATGTTCCGTTTCGGAATGCGCGTGGTTTAGAGATCTGGCGAGGCAGGGGCGCCAGTCTACCTTTTTAAGACTTGCATTTTGGTCTATATCATATCTCACTCACACAGCAAAACAACAATATCATAAAGTAAACAAAATAAAACATCAAAACAACTTCAGGTAGGGAACAATCACAGCACGGCACGCGAATTTACAGCGCATATAGTATAAGTAAGCCTAGA